GCCAGCCAGCCCCGCCCCCTGGTGGGCTGAGCTGGCCACACACACACACACACAATAAATAAATGTAATAAATAAAAATAAATAAATAAATAAAAATAAAAATAAAAAAAAGAACAACTAAAACCAAAGACAGAAATTTTCACCTTTTTAATTCCTAGCCTAATTCCTTTCATGCATTTCTTTCACACGTACATCATTTGCCTCAATCATTTCAGGAGCCTTTGGAGGGTAACTAAAGTCCTGGGGGTGAAGCGTTTATGAATGGGATTAGTGCTCATGTCAAAGCAATTCCAAAGAGCTCCCTACTCCTTTTTCTGCCATGTGAGGATATCACAACTCATAGTCTGCAAACTAGAAGACAAGACCTTCACTAGAACTTGATCATACTGGCATTCTGATTTAGGTCTCCTAACCTTTGGAAATGAAAACACAATTAAGGTCTTAATATAAAAAGTTTTGGGGGCCAGGGAGATGGCTCAGTGGAATAAGCACTTGCCTGGCAGGCGCAAGGGCCTGAGTTCAATCCCCAGTTCCGCCAAAAAAAATAAAAAAATAAAATAAAGTTTTGATATTATAAACCCCTTAAATCTTGGAGAATCCCTATAGGTGCCCAGAAAACATTTAGTACTGCTATACAGTATTCAATCAATGAAGGCCATCTGGGTTGTTTCTACAAGTATTTATTGAGTGTCTAAAACTATACTTAAGACTAGGCAGTGTGACACAAGCAGGTAATCCCAGCACTCGGGAAGCCGAGGCAGGAGGATCACCAGCTTTGACTACGTAGTGGGTTTAAGGCCAGTCTGGACCATGCTACAAACAAAACAAACAAACAGAAATAAAATTGTATCTCAGGCATAGTTAGAAAACTTCACTTACTCAGCAATCAACAACTATGAGTATCTACCAATATCTCTCTGCTAAGTTGTATTTATATTCTTATCTCAAACTTCCTTACTATTACACTTGCAACTCTAAACCATATTAACATTCCAAATGGCTCTACATATAAAAATTTAAACTCTTTCTAGCCAATCGAAGCGGAAGAAAACTCCGTATCTCTACCCTAACCCCATCACATTTAGGCAGAGAAAGAAACCAAGAACAAGCTCAATCATATGAGATCCTAAGTTGCCCCTAAATATCATTTATCTCAATGCTCAGAAGATAACCCCCATAAAAGGAAAGTTTTTCTTATCCTTTACAGATCAGATAATGTTTCATCTTAAATCACTCCTGAGTTTCTTAGCATAAAATACTTCTGTGAAATCCCACAGAACTATCTGAATTTCTCTGATGATAATTTCTAACACTCTTATCTTTCCTATGTTCTGCTACTAGAAAGTAATTCCTTAAATGGCTGTTATTTTACCTAGGTCCAGAACCTCATCAGTTCAAAGCATTTACCAAGTATTTAAAATACTAGTGAATATTATTTTTGGTGCATATATATATATATATATATATATACGCATACATATATATATATAAAACATAATACGTAAAATGTGGTATATTGTGTAACATTTATAAAACATTTTAAAATATTAATCAACAAAATTACATATTCCTTTGCTATATATAACATAATACGTAAAATGTGGTATATTGTGTAACATTTATAAAACATTTTAAAATATTAATCAACAAAATTATATATTCCTTTGCTATAGCTAAATACCTGCCATAAAATTTCCTAGTTTAGGTTTGGTTATTTGAGAAACTTTTAGAGAATAAATTTTTTTCATAAGGTTTAATGTTGTATTTTTCAGGACAAGGTGGCATATTAGCTGTTAAACACAAAAATAAGCAAGGCATGGTGGCACATGCCTGCAATCCCAGCACTTGGCAGGCTGAGGCCAAAGAATTTTTGTGGCAAGGTACAGGCCAGCCTGGGCTACACAAAGAGTTCTAGGCCACTCTGAACTACAAAACAAGGCTCTGTCTCAAAACCAAACCAAACCAAACTTCCCCAAAACAAAAATAAAACCTACAGAAATGTTTAATGTACTAGAGATACTTTTTGTTTTCTAACATACAGAACAATAATCAACTGAGAACTTAAGATTTGCATTTATTTGAATAGTTCATTCTAAAATACTGATATAATAAAAAAGGTAATCATGTAATAGTGTTATTACTGTCTTTGATCTATTTTAAAACAATTATTAAAACTAAGCTTTCAAATTACTAAAAATAACTATATACTGACAGTTTCAACTCAGAAAGCTGAGGCAGGAAGATTGCCTAAAGTTTGAGGTCAGGCTGGGCTCTTGGACTACCTAAGCAAGACCCTGTCTCAAAAAAACCAAAATAAACCAAACCAAACCAAAAAAGTGAGTTTCAGTTCATACCTAAAGAATTCAACTAGGTATCTATCTTTGGAGGACATGAGAAATTACAAAAGTCAGGGCCAGGGAAATAGCTCAGTGGCATAAGCACCTGCCTGGAAAGCACAAGGTCCTGAGTTCGATTCTACAGTAGAAAAGAAAGAAAGAAAGAAAGAAAGAAAGAAAGAAAGAAAGAAAGAAAGAAAGAAAGTTGAAAGGTCTTGGATGAACAGATAGATGTGAATGTGGAGGTGAGGTTTGGGGAATAGCTCAGTGGTAGAGTATTTATTTAACATAAGAAAGAGCTAGGGTTAGGATCTGTAGAGCATGCACATGCATGCCCCCCCCAATCTGGAGGTAATTTTCCATGTAAAACATAATAGTCCCTACATACTAAAAACCTTCTCATTTAGAAGAGTTTGTTCCCTATAACATTGTAGAAGCAGTAAACATGCCTTAATTTGAATTAAGAGAATTTTCTAATAAATAAAGTTGTCACCAACAATAGAAGTTGTCTTTTGAGGTGGTATTTTTGTCTTTTTTATTTTTTATTTTATTTTTTTTAAACGTGTGTGGTTGATTTATTTCACTTAACATTTGTGTGTTGAAGAATACATGCAGTGTATTATTTGTTGAAAAAAAAAAATAAAAAAATAAAAAAAAAAAAAAAAACATTTGTGTGTGTGTGTGTATGTGTGTTTTGGTGGAACCGGAGATTGAGCTCAGGCCCTTGTGCTTGCTAGGCAAGCGCTTATTCTGAGCTATCTCCCTGGCCCCGTTTTTTATTTTTTTGAGACAGGTTTCATTCTGAAATTGAGGTTGGCCTTGAACTGGAGGCTATCCTCCTGCCTCAGCCTCCCCGGGCTAGGATTACAGGCATGCGTCACCACACCCAGCTTGAGGTAGTAAGTTCTTTCACCGACCTAACCTCTCACTGCTTAACCTAGAGTTCGTTATCCACTAGACAGCCTGTTAACAGAGTATGTTAATGGGAAAGATATAAGACCTCATAATAAGTAATATCTTCTGCAATTTCAGACTATTTGTAAACTGAGATTATTTAAATTTATTTTTAAGACACAGCCTTACTATGTAGCTCAGACTGACCTTAAACTTAAGAGCTATCTTCATGCTGCAGTCTCCCAAATACTGAGATTACAAGCATGTGCCACTAGGTCTGGCAATTTTTAATACACAGTATCATTACCTATTAAGAAGTAGGGGCTGGTGAGATGGCTCAGTGGTCTAAAGCACCTACTTGGAACAAGCTTAACAAAGCACAGGGACTGCGGTTCAATCCCCCAGCACCACATGCCAGCCAGCCCCGCCCCCTGGTGGGCTGAGCTGGCCCCCCCAATAAATAAATAAATAAATGTTTAAAAAAAAAAGAAGTAAAAAAATCCTTCAGAATAGAGGAAGCAGAAATCACAAACAGGTCTATTTTTTTTCCAGGTTTTAAGACTATCTTATAGGCATTAAGTACACTTAACTTAGAACACACAAATAATTTAATAACACACAAATAACTTAGCACTTTATCAAAGCTTACTTTCAAAAACTTACCAGAATTCTGCTGGATTCCCCACCGTACTCTCATCCTGAATTGCCGAGCACTACTTTGTTGGAGTCTTCTATTTAGTCTGGGAAAATTTTGCTTCTTTCCTTCCTTTCGATTCAACTTGATAATTTCATCTACAACAGAGAATGCTATAATTATTTTCATTTTCACTTAATGGCTGGGCTTGGTGGCAAATAATTATAATCCCAGCATTCAGGGCCAAGATGGGATTACCATGAGTTCAAGATCAATCTGGGCTAGGAGTGAGATCAAGGCCAGCCTCAGTCACGTAATTCCTTGTCTTTTTTTTTTTTTTTTTTTTTTTTTTTTTTTGTGGCACCAGGGATTCAACTCAGAACCTTGCGCATATCAGGCAGGTATTTATTTTACTGAGCTATCTCCCTGATCCCATAGTTCCTTTTCTTGACAATTTTTTTTAACTTAATGACTCAATCACTTAGCTCATTTTCTAGTTAAGAAATTACATATGCCAACTTCTTTCCTTCTTTAAAAACACTTTCATGAGAGAATACTAATGACAGGAAGATAAAGTTGAAATCAGCCATTTTACCTGGTGTTTTGAAGAAAAGGTTTTGTTTTGTTTCATTTTGTTTTTTCCTTTGGAGACAAGGTCTCCCTATTCAATTCAAGCTGGCCTTGATCTCACTTTGTAGCCCAGGTTGGTCTCAGACTCACAAAGATCCTCTTGCCTCAGCCTCCTGAGTGTTGGGATTACAGGTGTGTGCCACCACACCTGTCTTTAGGAAAATTTTTGTAGAAAACGCTCAAATCCATAACCCAAAGCATGCCAGGAGTGGTGGTATACATCTAATCCTAGCACTTGGGAGGCTGAGGTAAGAAGAGCCCAAGCCCCACCTGGCTACATAGTAAGTTCAAAGCTAGCCTGAAGTACACAGCAAGACCTTGCCTCAAAACAACAAAAAAGCAAAAAAAAAAAAAGAAACAAAAAAAAAGAAACCAAACAGGTATTAATTAATAATTAATAATAGTGTACTGTTTCTTTAAAAGTTATTTTAGAAGCTACTGAATTCAAATAAACCATTTATACATTAAAATAAAAAAATCAACGAAACAGATCTATCAATACCAACTAATAGGGCCAGGGAGATGGCCCAGTAGAATAAGTGCTTCCCTGGCAAGTGCAAGGGCCTGAGTTCAATCCCCGGTTCTGCAAAAAAAGTAGGCAAAAAGCAGAGGAATACCAACTAATGGTAGAATTCTACTATCTATAGCATTTCTTTCTTTCTTTTTTTTTTTATTATTTATTTATTTTTATTTATTACATTTATTTATTGTGTGTGTGTGTGGCCAGCTCAGCCCACCAGGAGGCGGGGCTGGCTGGCATGTGGTGCTGGGGGATCGAACCACGGTCCCTGTGCTTTGCCAAGCTTGTTTCAAGTAGGTGCTTTAGACCACTGAGCCATCTCTCCAGCCCTATAGCATTTCTTTCTTAGGTGAAAAAAAAAAATGGTTTTTTTGGCCTCATTTCTCTGAAGTGCTAGGATTTCAGTTATGACCCACCACATCTCCCTTCACTGGTGAATGTTAATAAGCAAAAGCTTATTTAAAAAATTAATCATACTGGGGCTGGAGAGATGGCTCAGCGGTCTAAAGCACCTACTTGGAACAAACTAAGCTAAGCAAAGCACAGGGACCGCAGTTCGATCCCCCAGCACCACATGCCAGCCAGCCGCACCCCCTGTTGGGCTGAGCTGGCGCCCCCCCCAAATAAATAAATGTTAAAAAAAAATTAATCATACTAATTTTCTGTATTAACAGAAGTCTCCATTTTTAAAAAGATGACCACCTTTTAGTAAAGCCATAGGCAGTCAGAAAAGTAGGTACATCATTCAATTAAAGCCCACATTTCTGGGCCAGCAAGATACCTCAGAAAACTAAAGCGCCTGCTTAGGCAAGCACAGGGACTTCACTCGATCCCCAGCACCACATGCTGCACCAGCCCCACCCCCAGGACAGGCTGAGCCAAACAGAATCCAGGCGTAATGGTGTATGCCTATAATCTCACGAGTCCAAGCTGTGTAGTGAGACCCTGCAACAACCAAATACATAAAAAATAAAGACCAAATTTCTAAACTCACCTCAATTCAGTAAATATTTGAGTGTATACCTTGTGCAATAAATGTGTAAGACCATGCCATAATGGAAACAAACAAAAGTATAATATAGTCCCTTTTTTCAGTAAGTTTAAAATTATCAATGAGAACATATACAAATAGCAAACATAATTAAATGCCATAATAAAGATAAGAGTATAAAAAATTTTACTGGGTTCTTCTTCTCTAGCAAAGTCATTCAGGGTTATCCTATTTGGATAACTGATAAACATCACAATGTGCAAATTCTACAACAGAACATAAAGAGCCGAAAACTAAATGTACTCAAAATCCAACTTATACATCAGATGGTTAGTAGAAGCCAACAATACTTAATACCCACTTTTCATAGTTCACCATTCATTCTTTTGTTTGATACAGCAAATACATCAAAGAAAATGCACATAACTGAACAACTTCCTAAAAATACTTAATACAATTAAACTGAATGTGGTGGGCCACACCTGTAATTACAGCACTCTTGGGAGGCTGGAGCAGAAATTGTGACCCTCTGCTCCAGTTCAAGCCCAGCCTAGGCAACTTAATGACTTAGTGAGACCCTATTTGAAAATTTTAAAAATGGGAGGTTGAGACAGGAGTATCGCCATGCGTTCTACTATTAGCCTGGGTTACACAATGAGTTTAAGGGCAGCCTAAAATACATCAAGACCCAGTCAAGAAAACAAAACCAGGCCCAGAGTGGTGGCACATTCCTGTAACCCTGTAACATTCCTGTACTATAGAGGCTGAGGCAGGACTACTGTGAGTTTGAAGCCAGCGTTCAAGGCCTGCTTGAAATATACAGAGACCTTGCCTCAAAACAAAGAACAAAAATTTTAAAAAGGCTAGTGATATAACTCAGTGTGAAGACTCTGGTCCAATCCAGAGCACCAAAAAGCAACAACAAAACAAAACACAAAAAACAAAACTATTTTTGTGTGTGAGAGCCTTTATTATATATTCAGGTTGATCTTGAACTCACAATTCTGCTTCAGCTTCTGGAGTACTACAAATACAACAGACTGTAAGATCATTTCTGATATATTACTGCTCTACCTCATCCATATATAATCTTTTAGACTCTTGTCAAGAAATATTCATATAAAATAATTCAGATCTCTCCAGAGTACTTCGTTGTCTTTTTTTTTTCTGTGACAGTTTCTCTGCATAGTTCAGGCTGGTCATGCATTCATTATGTAGCCCAGGCTGGCCTCAAATTCACAGTGATTCTTCTGCCTCAGTCTCTCAAGTGCTGCTATTAAAAGGTATGCACTGCCACGCCCATCTGTTGTCTTCTTAAGGGCAATTACAAAACAAAAAGAATTCACTAAAGTTCAACACAGCTAGAGCTAAAAGCACATGCTTATTATTAGGTAGGCTTAGAGTTTGATCCAGAGAACCACCAAAAAACAAAACAAAACAAAACAAAACAAAAAAATAGTTAAAGCTGCTAGAAGCGCAGCTCAGTGATACAGAGTTTGCTAAGCAAGTGCTAGCCTCTGGGTTTGAACACCCAGTGGTCCCCCCCACCAAAAAAAAAAAAAAACAAGAAAAATAAAAACAGAGACATTATAACTTTTTTTAAAAAGGGTTTCACATATATACAAAAAGGTTCACAAATATCAGTTACATAAATGTTAAATTTTCAATGAGAAGAAAGAGAATAGTTAGGAAGTCAATACTTATGAACTACTATTTTCCTTTAAGAATTTGCTTATTCTCTACTAGAAGCCTAAAATCTTTGAGCCTTGAGTACATCCAAATAATGAATCTGAGTACCATTAATAAAAGAGACAGTACAATTGTGATTAACCAGTTCAACTTTAAAATAAAAGTATATATATAGACTATAATGAAAAAGCTGGGTGTTGGAGGTACATGCATGTAATCTCATAACTTGGGAGGCTGAAACAGGAGGATTGCCTTGAGTTCTAGGCCAGCCTGAATTGCATGACAAGACTATGTCTTTAAAAAAGTGTGTGTGCGTATACATATATACATATTTAATGTGTTGCTACTTTTAAATTATATAGATATAACACAAGCTAAATTATATGATTTATTTATTTATTTGCTCCAAATGTCTTCAGGGCAGGTTTGGCTGGCTTGAGTTGTGAGGATCGAACCACAGCAACCTGAGCCTGACTGCTTTGTTGAAGCAGCCACTTAAAGAACTGAGCTAAGAGGCAGGCCCCCTAAATTATATAATTTAAAAGTAGCAATGCATATTAAATATCAAAGTTTTTCATTTAAAAATGTTAACATCCTCAAACAAGTTAAATTGGCCACTGTGTCAGACAGGAGCCTTCCAAACATTAAAAAAAAAGAAAATATAGGGCTAGGAACATAGCTCAGTGGCATAAGTGCCTGCCTGGCAAGCAGAAGTCCGGAGTTTGATTCCCAGAGAACAAGAAAAAGTAGTAGCTGTCTCCTATCCAAGCAATAGACTTGGGGAAGGAGATCCTTTTCATAACAATAGCACTATAAGCATGATGATGGTGATGGTGATGATGATGATGATGATGATGATGATGATGATGATGATGATGATAATCGGAGTAATACTAGTGACTGTTAACAGGTATTGTTTTTTTTTTTTTTTTTTTTTTTTTTGCGGAACTGGGGATTGAACTCAGGTCCTTGTGCTTGCCAGGGAAGCGCTTATTCCACTGAGCAGTCTCCCCAGGCCCAACAGGTATTGTTCTGATGTGTATTCCATTACTTCTCATATTTTGAAATTTGTATCATTTTTAGTTTTCTTGTTTTTCTGGATTTTTAAATTCTCTTAAAAAAAATTAAAAGCCTGGTGTGGTGGCACACACCTGTAATCCCAGCACTCAGGAGGCTGAGACAGGAGGATTGTCGCCAAGTTTGAGACCAGCCTAGACTGCAAAGTGAGCTCATGGCCAGCCTGAACTGCATATGGAGACTTCGTCTCAAAAAGACTAAATAAATAAAAAATAAAATAATTACTTCTAATAAGAATTCCATGAAGCATATTTTCAAATTAACAAACTTGAGCCACAATGAGGCCAGCTAATAGTAAACTTAGTAGAAATTTCATGACTATTTATATAAACATGGTAAAGTCACAGCTAAAGAGACTCAGAACTTCTGCAAACCTAGTAAAATGAAATATTTACAAACTACAATTGTTGTCTAAAAGATTATTATCTCTGTGTCACCCATCTTTGTATGATTCTTACAAAAGAAAGGCACCTGACAGATTCTTAAGAAAAGAGACTAGCCCCTAATTTCTTTTTGGTGGTACCAGGGACTGAACTTGGGACCCTGTGCTTGCTAGGCAGGTGCTTATTCTACTGAGCTATATCCCCAGCAGCCTCTATTTTAGCTTGCCACAACACCTCATTTCTACCTTGAAGTCACTCCTCAGTTCTCTTGAACATCTCAATTAGCAAACAAAATACACACAGAACAAAACAAAACAAAGAACCCTATAAACATATATATATCCGTTATCAAAATATATGTTTACAATTTTCTTACTACATTGATAGCTTGGGCTTCTAGCTAGACTGAAATCCTAGCTCCCTCACTATCTGGAGCCTAAGTCACCAAGTCTTCCAGGCTAGACTCAAAGCTTGTGCTCCTCTTGCCTCAGCCTTACGTGCTGGAATTACAGGTATGTACTACCATGCTTGGCTGTTCCATGACTAAGTGGCTGTACGACTTTGTGCAAGTTAACTTAAGCTTCAGGTTTCTGTAAAACGGGATCAACAATGGCATATAATTGTGTATGAATGTAACTAAAACGGGATCAACAATGGCATATAATTGTGTATGAATGTAACTAAAACACAGGGCTTACTGTGTTCCAGGTACTGTTTTCACTCTAATACAGCAAACACTATTCTTATGACCTCTTTACAAGAGGCACTAACCAAGTAATTTGCCAAGGTCACAGGACTAGCAAGTACCAGAGCAGGACTCTCATAAGACAGTGCTTCTCTGGATTCCATTTGATCACTAGCAGTACAATCCTTATAGGACTATGAGGATAATTAACACATATAATATGCCCAGTCCAGTGCCTGTGGATAGTAAGCTCTGAATAAATATTCACTACTATACAACTCTGGCTTTTTCAAAAGATTCCTCCTTTCTTTCAAGCTCATTACTGGCTAAGGCAAGACTTGTAGCAATCTATTATTGCTGATAATTCAGTTAACACATTAAGCTCTCATTTGCAGTAATCCTTGAAACCCAGCATTCTGACTTTCAACCCAAAACTCCAGATAAACAACAAAAAAGAGAAAACAAATGAGAATAACAACCAAAAGAGTATTTCTAGGCTGGACATTATCCTAAAGTCTTTGGAATCAGGTTATTTTTCAAATTGCTGAAAAAGGGCAAGCAGAGCTTTCTACATTTAATACCATACCTTAAATGCCAACAAAAAGGAATGACTTTTAGAACTAGAGGCCAAACCCTGAGACTAGCGCGTTGAGAGCACTAGGTCTCAATATTTCAACCTTCTCCTCTGCCTCTTTACATAACCAGCACGAAACCACACCACCTTTCCAGTAAGTGCTGGACCCTCAAGTTTTCCCTAGCTTCTCAGCAATCTAAGTAAATCTCTCCCTCGGTTTTACTGTTTTGTTTTTTAATTTATTTATAACTATGCTGGTAGAAATGTGCCTTTCTAGACACCACCTAATATAGCACATCTGAGCCAGGTTGTAATGGCTTTCATCTGTAAAGTCAGCACTCTGGGAGGCTGAGGCAGGAGGGCTGCAATTCGAGCACAGCCTAAGCAACTCAGATCACGTATCAAAAAAACCCCAAAAACAACAACACCCACAAAACTATAAAAAAGGCAGTGGGTGGAGCTCTGTGCAGAGAGCCTAGGTTCAGCCCCCCCTTATACTCTTTTTCGGGGTGTGGGGGGATACTGAGGATCAAACTCAGGACCTTGCACTTGCCAGGCCGGCACTTATGCCACTGAGCTATCTCCCTGGCCCTCCCCGTACCACTTTGAAAACAAAAACAAAACGCCACTTCTGAAGATGCAGTCCCTCCTGACAGGCAGTCCAAGTTGCGCCCGCACAGGCCCGGGCTCGTTCCCGGGATCTTCACCAATCTAAGACTCGGCCCGGCTTTGGTCTCTCGGAGACCTCTCTCCGGAGAGACGGGATAAACGGACTGTTGCCTCGCTCCTGAGAACGCCCACGGCGGTTCCCAGCGAAACACGTCGAGTCTTCCTCACAAAGAGCCGGGTGGGAAGGCGGTAGGCGCACCTCTAGACCCTCGGCCCGCAGCGTCCCGTCTCGCTAACCCTCCCGAGGCGCGGCCTCAGCTGCAAGGGCCCGAGCCCGCGCCCCAGTCCCGCCCACCAGCAAACTGGCTCCCGGGGCCCCGCGGCCAACGTCCCCTGCTCCGCGGACCGCGCGCCGGCCCCTCCCCCACCCCGGCGCAGGGGGGATTAGAAACTGCTCTAGGAGGATTTTAAACAACTGGCTGTTCCCTGCGCCGCCCGCCCGCCCGCCCGCTCCACCTCAGCCCCTCACCTAGAGACATATCGATTTTATCGAGATTCTCATTGCTGCGGGCCTTCAGGGGTGGCGACGGGCTCGCCCCGGCCCCCACCAACCGGGAACCAAACCGGTTCATGGCTCTGAGACGTACTGAACGGTCAGCCGGTCAGCCGGTAAGGCCGGAGTCACAGGCCCGCCGCCTCCCACTCACGCACGCAGACTGGCCGTACCGCGGGTGCGCGCACGCGCGCTGGAGGCGTCCGCGCGCTCCCAACGGCCGCGGCAGGCGGGGGAGGGGCTACCGAGACGAGCTGCGGGCCAGAGGGGCCGCGCGGAACTCGTGCCCCGCGCTCGCAGCTGACCCGGAACCGCGGCTCCGGGTAACAAGGAGGGTCGCTGTCTCAACTTTCGGCCCCAGTTGGGGGACGTCAGACCTTATCCACCTCAAAATCACATGCCTGAAATGATATAATCTTGCAAGGGGGTCCCTCCTGTTACAGAAAGGTCCCCAGTGCTTCGGTGCACGCGCACCTTGCACACGCTGCTGCAATGCAGCCCCGGACCCTCGCCAGCGCACGATGCAGCGCTGCGTCCCAGCTCCCTTCTCCCTGGCGCGCTCCTCCACCTGCAGCGTCCGAACGCAGGGGCTGCAGTGACTGTTCTTGTGTTATTTGAAAAATCAAAGTACACGGTAACGTTTGCCGTGTCTGCACCACTTCGCTATCTGCTGTCTCAAAACACTGGGCTCGGTCCTAACTACCTTAGTAAGATCTCTTCTTTCCTTGGGAGGGTAAGTACCTTTGCTTATGTAGCTGCGTTTTTCTCTAATTCTTTTGCGTCGGGAACGGATAGGACGATTCGATCTTTTCTCCTAATCATCCTTTTATTAACACTTACTAATATTTGCTGGATTCCTTACCCATTAATAACTACTCCCGCGTTTACAAAGTGTGGTCTTCTGACCTCGTTCTTCCACGAAGCACTTGTGTAGAAGCATTTGGATTACTTCATCTTTTAAAAAGCAAAACCGAGACATTTGCGTGTCAGGGAAGAAAATAGGGGCAGGTACTCTATCCACCTGTACATCTCTGCCACTTTTCTTTCCACTTACTAAAATTTTTTCAGCGCAGAAATGAGCCAGAGCTTTCCGGTGGCCTAAAGCATCTCAAAACCACAGTAGCTGATACTTAATTTAGTCATGTCACAATGTCATGTGGTTTCCAATTTCAGTGACACTTTTTACTATTTTTTGCTTGTGGATCTCATGTCTTAAAATATTTCATACCATGTAGATTGTATTTATTAATAACCTTTTTCCAATTTTTATTAACAAAAACTCAGCAATGCCTCATCTCCCTTGTCTGTGTCTAAATTCAAAGCAAAGGTTTCAGTGACAATTTTGGGGGTCACCTTAATAAAACTACAAGTGCATGTTTTCTATATCTGTAGTACAGGTAGAGGGGCCAGGGAAATAGCTCAGCAGAGTAAGCACTTGCCTGGCAAGTACAAGGTCCTGAGTTTGATCCCTGATACCGAAAAAAAAAAAAAAAGTGTAGTTCAGGTAGAACTCAGAGGCACCCGACTGAGTTATGTTTCCAGCTAAACAAAGAACCATGACTTCCTTTTTATTCTTTTGGAAATGTATGATTGTATTAGACTTTTGGAAATATTACAAGTAATCTCCTTATTCTCTCAGGTCAAGTTGATAGATATTCTTCCCTATGACAAAAATATAACCATATACAAAGAGTGGATTGGTCTAGGACACACCTATCAGAGGGTACAAAAAACTAATGGTGGAGGAAAGTTTGAACTGAGATAGACCCAGAAGCAATAGCTGGCATGTGAAGAATAGCATGTATGTCCTTGGCACAAGGTTCTTTATTTTATTATTCCACCCTGAGGCCTCCACCCTTCTCTGGGCTGCTAATAACTAGGGAAACTGGGTTATAGAGATAAAAATCATTAAGAAACTTGATGGTAACTTTTTCACTTGCTTTAATCATTCACTAGGTGATCTTGGGAGAGTCTCTAGGCCTTATACTCATCTTTAAAATATGAAAGTACTAACATGAAGTACATAAATTGTCCTAACTTTATCTCCGCGATTCCTTACAGTTCTAAAAATCCCTGTACACAAGACATTCTTGTGGACATTTGTCTTTTCTCACTAAAAGTAACTTCCACCATCACTGTCCATTTGTAGGAGTAAATCACAGAAAGGAATATTAGGTTAGGTCCCTAACTTAATGTAAGAAAATTAATGTGCAGTATTTAGAGTCTGGAAGTACTCTGTCCTTTAGGTTTTTATAGGGCAGGCAAAAAAAAAAAAAAAGCCAAATATATAGAATCTTCCCTGTCGCAAATATAATAAAGATTCTCTCCTATTCTGTTCTTCTTTCCACAAATAAAGCCCTCTTTCCTAGCTCAGTGATAGTGAACCCTTTAGAGACAGAGTGCTTCAAACTCACTTTTTCTTTTTTAATCTCAGTGCTAATACTGCCATTAAACCTGAATACTGAGGTTTTAGCTTAGAAAACAAAACAAAACAAAACAGCTCATACATTAACTGCTAGCTCCTTATTTTTAAAGGGACATGCCCCAGTATTTCATTAGGCAATCCTTTCTATTATGTTTTAGAGTTTCATGTGTCCCCCAGGATGGAGGGTCTCAGAGTAATTTCCCACATTCCAAAGGGAAAAGATGTGTGAAGCATTGTGGACAATAATGAGTCTGTAGATCGAACTCAGACACAAAACAAAATAGCAACCTGAGAATCATGCAGCAAAAACAAGAAGACAAGCCAAGAAATCAGAATTGGGATGTGTCCAAGAAACTTAGCTGTCAGCAGCTATAGAGGGACAAATAAAAGGTCAACTCTGGAGTTTTCTGGGGCATGAGGGTCAGCTCTTCACTTAATCATGTGTACATTGAGCATCAGGCATGGTAATAGGCCCTTGGGGTGGAACAGTAAGGAAGACAGAGGATGCCTCTCTTTTCACTTGGCTTGCAGAGCAAAATGTATTTTCTGAGCACCTACTATGAATAAGGCACTATGCTGGACACTGAGCAGACAGCCTTTGCCAGGGGTACAGAAATTCAACAGCTGCGTCTAAGTAAAAATAAACAGAACCCAAGCAGCATCCTCTTTTAGAGGCTTTTATTTCATAGAATATAGGTAAGACAAGATCTAGGGTGGCCAAGAAAAATACAGAGCCAGTGAAATTTGGATTTCAGGTAAACAACAAACAATTGTTCAGTGTATTCAGCAAGTTTCAGATAAACAGCAATTTAAAAAATATAGTTTCATGTAACGTTTAGGAACTACTGAATGTTTCATGTAACATTTAGGAATTACTAAACATATTAAATAATTGTTCATTTATATAAAATTCAAGTTGAAGTAGGAGTCATATATACTAAATCTGTCAATCTTAACAACTTCATACTTTCCTATTAATGCTTCCTGACTCTTCACAATGTACATTCTCAAAGGTAAGCACAACTGTTATTCATTTCACTCTTTAATCATTTTTATGAGTTAAATGTATCTTTTGGGCCTGGGGAGATGGCTCAGTGGAATAAGTGCTTCCCTGGCAAGTGCAAGGGCCTGAGTTCAATCCCCGGTTCCAAAAAAAAAAAAAAAAAAAAAAAAAAAAGTATCTTTTAAGTCTCTTTTCTCAATTTTATTGAGATGAAATTTATAAATAAAAGATATCTCATAGTGTGGAGCTTACATAGATGTGCAGTATATGTATTTATGAATACAACATCACAACCAGAATAATAAATATATCTATTATTCTCAAAAGTTTTCTTGTGCTTCTTTGTAATCCTTCTCGTCTACTGCATAGGCAATCACTGATCTGCTTTCTGTCATTATGGATTAATTTGCATTTTCTAGACATTTATATGAATGGAAGAACACTCTAAGGTGAACTACCATGTTTCTAATTCTCATGCCTTTTTTCTTTTTCTTACCTTGTTGCACTGAGTGAGGACTCTAATATCATGTTTAATCAGTGAAGAAAGTGAATGCTCTGCTTATAAGCCTGGAGGAAAAGCACATTCTTGAACCTTCAAGTATGATAGACATTTTTAGATGCCCTTTATTGGGTTGAGGAGGTGCTCTTCTCATGGATTTTGCAGTTTTTATTATGAACAAATTTTGAACTTTTATCCTTCTGCTGCATCTGTTGAGATGATCAAATGGTTTTCTTTTTGTATTTCCTAGTATAATGAATTGCATTGAATGTTGCATTTTGAGATAAACCTACTTGGTTGTGGTATGTCATCCTTTTTATATATTGTATATAATTTGCTAATATTTTATCAAGGATTTTGTCTTTTTAAAGTGATATTGGTATATAACTTCTTTTTCTTGTAATGTCTTTGATTTCTGCTTTTCAGAAAAGGAATTTGAGAACTCAAATTTTGACATGTATTTTTCTCGTTTAAGGGAGTGGTATAATTTGTATTACATATAGGAATAATATGTATTTGTTAGGCGTAATAACTACTTATTAAGCAGGGTGTGATGGTGCACACCTATAATCCCAGCACTTGGGAGGTTGAGGTACAAGGATCACTGTGAATTTGAGGCCAGCCTGGGCTACATAGTGAGTTCAAGGCCCTGTCTCAAAAATAATACCAGGATATAATAATCACTTATAAATTATACCAAGTTCCCTTGAGTTACTTAGATATACAAGTTTTCTTTTCTTTTTTTTTGAGTTATTCTCATTCTACCTTTCTTGCCAGTGTTTTCTGCTGTATGAACTGTTTTTTGTGGGTGTTTTGCCATTTTTCTGTAACTTTTTATTTTTTGTTTTTGTTTTCGCACTGGGGATTGAACCTTGTGCTTGCCAGACAGGCACTTGTGCCTCTGAGCTATCTCCCCGGCTGTAACTTTTTATTCTTCCTATATTTTGCTCTTTTTGTTTGTTCTAACCATTGGTGTTTTAGTCTTCTGTCTTTTACTCTCTGCTTTCATTCATTTATTCATTCAGCAAATAAGAGTTTTTCTATATACAAGATAGTACTGTGGTAGAGGCTGAAGGTACAACAGAGATGCTGACAGACACAGTAGTAAGTATAGCTGATACCTTAGGACTCAGAAGCTCTGGATGAACCCGCCCACCCACCCAGGTGCCTAGTGTAAAGGACCATTACTGCTCCAAGTCCCTGGCCATCCATTTTCATGGGGTTGGAAACCTTCTCTGGGAAACAAGAATAGGAAGAACTCTTCCTGGACTCAAGGCCTGGATCTCTCAGCTCACACCTTAAATGGTTTTGCCTTTCCTGAGGGTTCTTCATCACTAGGATCTAGATCCACTCACTGAATGACCTTGTAGAATTTTCCAAAGCTAAACACATTTACATAAACCACAGTCTCCCCCCTAGTTGGGTAAGAATTTCTTTCTTTTAAAAAGCTATCCTCAATTTGTACTAAACAGAGTGATGAGCTAGGAAGCCTGTGAGGCCAGCTTGTTTGTAGTCGCCGGGCTGCCCGTTCTTCTCCTCCCTGCTGCTCGTTTTGCTGCTCAGCCTCCCAGCTCTGGGATGCAGAGCCTAGTCCTGCTGAACACTAGTTTCCTTCTCTCACCTCCACAGTGAATCCATTCTCCAGGCCCAGCTTCATCCCGCTAGACATACGGGAGCTAGTGCAGGGTAAAATTAAACATTCCTATACTGTTGAAGTGTTGTGGAATCCAGAAATAAGTTCTCAATTTCATATTAGAAATTCTGAACTGATATCCTGGCAATTAATTGTAGGCTGACAGTAAACTTTCCTAGCCGGACTTGGTGGCACACACCTGCCTCAGCCTTCTGAGTACTGGGATTACAGGCGTGTGTGTAATGTACATTATGATCATGTTATACTCATTTAAGATCATATTGTATGCCCCAAAGCAGAAGGTAGTGAAGTCCTGATGACTAACATTGTCCTTTTCTTAAAAAGTGTAATCCTTTGATAGGAAATATAAGAAAGATTGAACAAAGAGTATTTTTATGTAAAAAAAAAAGATAATTTTCATTAAAAGGCTGATGTCAATTCACAAAGCAGTGTTCACAATTTGAAAATTCCTAAAATCATGTTATATTTGAGTCACTAATTCATGGAGTTCTCTGATTCCTTCCTCTCTCTCACTTGCTGTTTCCAGTACTTCATGGACTGATGAGTGATGCTGATCCTATTACCTTAATATTGTTGTAATTTTTTTATTCAATTTTTTTTTTTGTACCAGAAATCAAACCCAGGACCTTGACTTGCCAGGCAGGCATGTATGCCACTGAGCTATGTCCCTGCCCCTTTTGCTTCAATTTTTTGAGACGGTAACCCAGGATAGTTTCAAACTTGCAGTGGTCCTCCTGCCTTAGTTTTTTTTTTTTCTTTTTTTAATTTATTTGTTTATGTGTGTGTGTGTGTGTGGCCAGCTCAGCCGGCCTGGAGGCGGGACTGGCTGGCATGTGGTGCTGGGGGATTGAACCGCGGTCCCTGTGCTTTGCTAAGCTTGTTCTAAGTAGGTGCTTTAGACCACTGAGCCATCTCACCAGCACCCCCTGCCTCAGTTTCTCATGTGCTGTGATTACAAGTGTGTGCCACCATGTCTGGATTTTTGTTGTAATCCCAATCTCCTTGTTCTTATAGCCACTGCTCTGCTTTAGGACTGAGCTTGCAAACTAGCAACTCAGTCACTTCTTCCTGCTTATAGACAGTTTTGTTTGGCCTGTATGATGTTTAACTATTTCAGAGACAAGGTTACACTATGAACCCCAGGCTGGCCTCAAATTTGCAATGATCTTCTTAGCCTCTTAAGTGCTGTGATTACAGGTATGCACCACCACATCCAACTAAGTTATTTTAAAAATTTGTTACCAATATTTAATAAAGTGGAAACTATACTTGTAAGTGTAGATTTCAGCTTCTTTTAATTTTTGTCTTTTTGAGACAGGGTCTTGCTATGCAGCTCAGGCTGGCCTTGAGCTCACTTTGTCACCCAGGCTGGTCTCAAATTTGCAATGATTCTCCTACCTCTATTTCCCAAATGCTGGAACTATAGGCATGCATCACCATGCCTGGCCTTCAGCTTCTTTTAAAGCTCAGAGCATCTTGTAATCCTAGGCCCTGTGTTCCTATTTGCTAACATTTCAGTTAAAACTAACGTGAGATTTCCTTTCTTGGGCAAGGCCTGAGATAGCCAGCTGAGATTTTTTGCCACTCTGTTGTTTCTTACAATGCCTGTTCTGACTCTTCTAAGGACTTTGTCTGTTCTTCCAACCTTACCTCTAACATAAACATAACCCATCTCCCCTCTAGTGTCAAAGTCAAATTTCTAAGCAGTTGTGATCAAACCACTCGATTTGTAGATTCTTGATATGTTGTATTCAGGATAAAATGCAAACACCTTAAAATGGCACTTAGTACCTCTGTCTGCTTGCATCAGAATGCACACACCATTCTGTCCCCCACCCCTTTCCAGTTTTGCTTACTACTCAAAACCAGCAGTTCCCAAATGAGCAACTTCCTTGTGTTTGCCTGAGCTGTTCTCTTCCCTTTTCCTCTTGATTAACTCATACTTATCCTTAAAAACTGTACTCTGACATTAATCCTCTAGAAAGCCTTTCCCTTATGATGTGGTCTTGGGATGGAACCTAGGGCCTTCGCACTGAGCTACAAACCCAGCTCCTTCTCCCTCCTCTCCCTCCCCCTCCTCTCCCCTCCTCCCGCCTCTCCCCTCCCTCCTGTCTCTCTCTTTTTTACTTTGAAAAAGGTCCCCTTAAAGTCACCACACTGCCCAGGCTGGGATCGAACATGCTTTCTTCGTTCAGTCTCCCAGGGTGCCAGGAGTTCTGGATTTAGCCGCCATGCCTGGCTACTCCACTCTCCTTTTGAGATCCCAAGTAACTGTGCCCTTCAGAATTTGTGAACTCTTCATTTAAATGCCTGAGTGGCCAAATACGATCAACTAGTGTTAAACTAGGGGTGGGGTGAAGCGGGGGCTAATCAGAATTGTATTACACCAGCATTATTTCCAAGTTTACACCTCCGGATCTGGTTCTTGCTGGGACGTGCGATAATGGTGCGCTAGGAACCACACAGACTCGGATTCCGCCCATCGAAAACCCGTCACGCATGCCCCCGAGGACCACAGGCCCCTGCGAACGCGGACTCTGATTGGTTGGAGCGGTGCATGCCGGGGAGCGCCCTGGTCCCGACGGGCTTTTGGGAGTTGTAGTTCCCGGAGCCGGAAATGGAATGGCAGGAATAGAAACCGCAACTGGTGCAGCCGTCACTGACGCGGCTGACGCCTGGGTGTAGCGCATCCTTCGGAGCCCACCAGTCCTGGGTGCCGCCTCTGTTTCCTGGCGGGCGAAGCAATAGGGTCGCCTCTCAGCCAGGAGCGACCTCGCAGCGCCAAATGCGGCCGGACGGCGCGGGAATGGATCTGGGCGGCTGCGAAGAGAGCCTGCCGGAGGAGAGCAGGTGGGCAGCCAGGGCGCGGGGAACGCGGCAGCCGGGAGCCGCGGGGGTGGGGAGAAGCATCAGAAGCGAAGAGCTGCTGGTGGCCGCTGCTGGGGGACTCCTTGGGAGAGGAATTCCAAGAGGAGTGCCAGATAGAGCGTGGAGAGGTCGGGAGTAGGAAAGGCCAGGCAGGAGGAGCAGTATTCATGTAGGGTAAGGAAGCATGACAGGGTGACACTCAGATCCTAGGCTGCTGGGGAGGAGGCGGCGAATAGTCAGGGTGCCGTTTTACGATTCTTACGGGCTGGGCCGCACTCTGTAGAAAGGAACCTAAGACAGGGCTAGTGCCCTGGCTGCAACTTGCGGCGACAGCACGCAGGGCCAATATGAAGAAGATGACGTTGTAAGCATTTGTAAGAATAAAGGTGAGCGCTTAGGAGTGGTGTAAGAATAAGGTGAGGAGGCAAGGAGGAGTGTGGGAAAGGAGGCAGGAGGACCTGTGGGTGAAAAGCGAGTTTGTTTCGACAGTTCGCACAAGAATTGTGAGCCTATCCTTTGTCAATGCTGAGTCCCTGTTTGAATGGCAGGATCTTTCTGTCATTTCCTTTTCATCTTCAGACCTTTCACTTTCTTCCCCACAATGCAGACTAAGCAAGTTCACACTTACATGGAACTATTATTGTCAGAAAGTCAGAATCTTCTAGAAATCAAGAGCGTGTGTGTGTGTGTGTGTGTGTGTGTTTTGCTGGGAATGGAACCCAGGGCTTTATGATTAATTAGAGTCTGTTTAGGGTTTGCTTCATTAATAGCTGGTCACAGGGCGGAGGGGTGTCTTAGAGGTAGAGCACCAGCTTATCTTGCAGGAAGCTCTGGGTTCCAACCCCAGCACTGCAATAGCAACAAAAATTGGTCTTAACCTCTCTTGAAGGCTGGGATGGCAGGTTATAGTGTTGCAGGCAGTCTGAGTTAGATAGAAAATTGCAGGCAGTCAGACAGGATCAGGCCCTTGAAGGAAGTAACAACCAGGCACCTTACAACTGTGGGAAGGATGGAGGCCCCTGCTGTAAATCGAACCTAAGGACTAGCATCCAGGGTTTATCATTACTCAGGAAGAATTATGATCTGAAGGCCTCCTGATAAGGTCCTGTTTTACATTCATGCCCGCTTGCTGCGTGACTCGCTACCCCATTTGGTCCTGGGCCTAATCAATTTTACCTGAGCAAATGGTGCTTGTAATCCCATTTGTTGAGCATAGTTTAGTCCCACCCTGCATCCGCCTAAGCGAGACCCCTCTGTCTCTACCTCAGCCCGGCATGGTTTTGCCCTATAAAGGTAACTTGGAAGAGGCAGCTTCCTGGGCAACCCACTAGGGTCCCCCTTCTGTCCCTCTCCAACAGAAGCTTTCCTTTCCAATAAAATTTTACCCTCAACCTGCGTTTGTTCCTAAAATTCATTCTTCAATTTTAGAAAACACCACCTCATCCAGACCAGGTTGGGAGTTTCATTTCCCTATATCAGTAGCAGGAATGTGATTTAAAGGAGTCTTCTTTGACATTTAGAAACAGTTTAAGCTACGGTGATATTTCAGGAGCAGCTAAAATACAAAATCTAGAGGCAAAATATTTGCCTTTGAGAAACTATCCTCAGAGGAGAATTGAAATGTGCTTGGATGAAGATTTTGTGGTTTTTAAGGGCCATTTCATTTTTTATGTGCACAGGTATCCTGGACAAAGCCTGAACTGAGGGAATTTTGGGTTGGTGCCTGAGACCATTGAATGATGTATATGCTAAATGAAACTGAACATTTTACTTCCCCTTTCCATGCTTCAATTTCTGCTTATGTATATTTGGGTATTTATTCTTCCTCCAGATGTCTGTGAAGTGATTTGTGTAAAAGATCCCCTGTAAGTTCTAAACACGTTGTAGAGTTATTTTGATCTTCCTCTAATATTTCATATGGGTCAGGCAGGGTCAGAAGTGTAAGTTCAATTTTTTTTTCCTTTTTTACCTGGAGCTGCATTATTTATTTACCCTATACTTATTATATTCCAGGCACTATTTTAAGAGCCTTACACATATTAACTTATTTAATCTTCTCAATTGTATGAGGCATAGAATAGTCTGCCATGATCATACTGGGGCTCAAACCCATGCAATTGGCCTTAGACTGTTTTCTTTTTTTTGAGACAGGGTCTTGTTATGTAGTCCAGTCTGGCTTTGAACTCGACATAGGTTGGAGTGGACTCAATCTTATTTCAGTCCTTCTGCCTCAGCTTCTCGGTGTTGGCATTACAGTCCAGCACTACAACTGGCTCGTAGCCTGTACTTTTAATACCTATACTATGCTGCCTCTTACTATGCTAATCGATTGTGCTAAATTTGACACCATTCTGTGCCTGTCATTCAGGCCAGGAGGACAGCTCCCTTGAAGGCATCCTTTCCTTGACTGTGTGTGCTTTCTCTTGGCCAAAGAACTTCAGTCAAAACTTCATTTCAGGAGTGAGAATTTTTTTTTCTGCAAAATCGTTCATGTTATTAAAGGCAATACTGAGTTGGTGCTTGGTGAACTGCGAACTGTGTTGTTTAATGGAGCTTCCTGGTTCTGATGGCCTCCTTAGCTCCAGAAAGGCAGCTGGTAAACACATGCCTTGTGCCTGAGAATTGAGGCTTTGTGGCTAGGTCACTGCAACCATTTCCTTTTTATGGCCATTACAACGCACAATTAACAGTCTTCTTGCTAGTTGTGATGTTGCATGCCTGTGATCCCAGCACTTGGGAGGCTGAGGCAGGAGAATTGCTGTCAGCTACATGAGATGACCCTGTCTCAAACAAAACAAAACAAGACAGCAGTTTTCTTGAAGAAATGGTATCATTTTAATTTTATTTATTTATAAAGATAAAGCACCAAAATTTAATAAAGTTTGCTGGTGGGGAGGAAATGGTACTGGCACTGACTGGGGCTAAGGATTTGAAATGTGAGCAGACTCTAGGTGGCCTCCCATTAAAGCTTTCCAAACATGATTGATGGTGTGATGGACAGGGTGCCGATCGGGGTCAGCTGCATCCACTGCACCTGTCCTTTTGCATTGTCTTCCTCTGGGCGGCTCATCCCAGGACAAAAGTCAGGGGGTTTGGCCCTGGGGTTTTGGCAGAGTGAGAAGAGTAGAGAAGAATAGTCTGGTGGTTCCAACTCTATTATCTGTATTATTCCTCTCGAGAGTCTTGGTCCCCCAAAATTGTGAAGGGGTACTGAGTAGGATTGTCCATCTTCTATAGCTACTTCCAACTAAATGGGGGTGGGTATTTGTGCTGCTTCTGGAGACACCAGGAAATTCATAGTCCGCTTGATGTAGGGAGCCTAAGCGGGTCTATTCCTTCTCTGAGGGTTTCTTGGTGATCTGTGGGTATGGAGGTAGTGTCCTTGGTGATGCCATCATTTGTAGTTTAAGGGCTTGTTAAACAAGAAGAAATAAATTGGATAAAAAGATTAAATATGCATGGTCCAAATAGGCTATGAGAAGCATTAATAAAAGTTATTGCTCCCCGTGGGGGTCAGATTAACAGGGTTGCGTGCTCGTGTCAGTTTGCTGGAAGATGCAAGTAGGAGTGAGTGCCATACCACTGAGAAATGCCTGAGTGTCAAGACAGAAGTTATTCTCAATAGTAAACATGGTTGAGCTGTGGGAAGCAACAGAGTAGCAAAACTAGCTGCATAAGACATGCAAAGAGGGGGCTGACTTTATTTAGCAGGAATAAAATGATTTACTTATCCAACTCAGCAGATTGTTTGGTGTTTTTTCTGTTATTTTTCTGTTTGTTTGTTTTTGTTTTGTTTTGTTTTTTGAGGTAGGGTTCACTGTGTAGTGCAGGCTGACCTTGACTTTGCTTATGTAGCCCAGTCTGGACTCAAACTCTCAGTAATCCTCTTGCCTCAGCCTCCCGAGTGCTGGGATCGTAGGTATGTGCCACCATGCTGAGAAGTTTGGTGTTTTGTTTTGTTTGATTTGTTTCTTTATTAAAGAGTATAAATTAGAATTAAAACAAAAAATTACAAGTAATATCAAATTTCACTTAACAAAGTAATATGAATTTCACAGTATTTGTTATAATACAGTGTTGTCTTCCAACCAGTTATTCATATTACCAGATATATCCATGTAAAATTGGAAGAAGAAACAAAAAAGAAAGAAATGTATAAGAAATTAAGAAGACAGGGGCTGGAGAGATGGCTCAGTGGTCTAAAGCACCTACTTAGAACAAGTTCAGCAAAGCACAGGGACCACGGTTCAATCCCCCAGCACCACATGCCAGCCAGCCCCGCCCCCTGGTGGGCTGAGCTGGCCACACACACATAAATAAATAAATAAATAAATAAAATTTAAAAAAAAAGAAATTAAGAAGACAAAAAGGAGAAACAATTGAAAAAAGGAAACAAAACAAATTAAAATGTGAACTGCTTCTTTCCATAGACCAGCAGAAATGCACAGTACAGTTGTCCAAACCATCCTGCTTACATACATGGATAAATCACTTTCCCCTACTCCCTCTCCTGTCCTCCTCACCTCAGTAACTCTTTCCTTTAGAATAAAAAAGTTCAAGGGCTGACCACATAGTTCAACAGATTAAAGTGCCTACTTTGGCAGATGCAGGGGCCAGGGGTTCGATCCCCCCATGTGCTGTGCCAGCCCCAACCCCGGGGCACCCTGAGACTGAGACTGGGTGGTGGTATGTGCTTATAATCCCAGCTCTTGGGAGGCTGGAAAACAGGAAGGATCACTACAGGTCTGATCTGTGTAGTGAGACCCTGTAGACCCTGTACTAAATACATTAAAAAAAAAAAAAAAGAATAAGTTCATTTCCTTTCAACAGTGTCGTACCCTTCAGATTCCATTTTTTCTTTTTCAGGTTCTCACACTAAGGAGACAATACAATGTTTACACATGTGACTCTTGATTTATTTCACTTAAGAGTAGTATGTTCTCTAGTTCCATCTATTCACCAACAAAAGACTCAAATTTAGG